TAGTTTAGAGCTTCAATTTAAAAAAAAATAGCATATGGTTTGATTAATTAGTTATTTCAATAAATGTAATTTTATTTATATCAATCTTATTAAAATAAAAAATTAGATTTATTGAAATAAATAATTAACTAAATAGAATACTATTTTTTTTTAAATTAAATCTCAAGACTAACTTTACACTAAAATAGAGCTATTTTTTTAATATTTTTATAAAAATATTTAGAATACTGATGATTAGTGTTCTTAGTTTTGATTATTTATATTTTTTTGGCTTTTTTAAAAAGAAAATTAAAAAAAATAGTTCTATTTTAGTGTAAAGCTAGTTTAGAGCTTCAATTTAAAAAAAATAGCATATAGTTTGATTAATTAGTTATTTCAATAAATATAATTTTATATAACCAACTCTCTTTATTGATTCTTCATACACAAATTGTCAAAAAACAAAATAGCAGTTTTTTAGAAAAACTATTTATAAAACAATTCTTTGTGTCCTAAGAAAAAAGAAAAACAACAAATAATATATAGTTACAAAAGGAAGCAAGATATATAAAAAAGAAACCAATAACATATAAAAGAAAAACAAAATTTTTAATGAGTTTTTGGTGCTTTGGAGAATATTTGTAGGAATTCCTCTGGATCCTGAATTGCAGATCTGTTTATGTTGCATAAAAATTAGTAATAACAACAAAATAAACACATGAAGATATAGATAGAAAAATAAACAATAGTATAAAAACAATAATTACATATAGAATAGTATACAGATATAGAATTTTTAGAAAATTCTAGAAGAAAATAGAATAATGTGAACTAAATTAGAACAGCTAGTGCATTTAAAAACTGAATATAGATTGATCGAAAAAGAAGACTTTACAGAAGAAATTATAGAAGTAGAAGTCAATCTAGGAAGAAGAGTTCTAGTAAATAAAATAATTAGGCTGCAAAAAGTCTTAATAATGAAGAAAGAACAGTATATCAGAAGCTAGTTAAAAAAGAAACTAAGAAAAGAAAATGATTGCTAGAGAAAAAGATGATGCTAGCTATAAAAAAACTGAAATAGCAAATAGATTCAAGATGGTATAAGCAATTTAAAGAAAAAAAAAAGACTAATTAGGCTTAGCAAACTAGAAAGATAACTTGAGAAATTATAATAAAGTTTAAAGAAGAAATTACAAGCTGACATAAGGAGATGATAGCTATACTAGAACTTAAAAATAAAATTATAAGGCAATACTTAATAGAAAAGCTAGAGAGAAAAATTATAAAACAGTACAGAAAGAAAAGACTAGAGAAACAGAAGAAAAAAGAAAGTAAGAAAAAAGCAGAAGAAGAAAGTCTTTATAATATGGAAGAAATTAGAAGAAGAATATTAAAGTGAGAACAAAAAAGAAAAACTGAAAAAGAAAAAAAAAAAAGATATTAAGAATCTTTGAATATAGACTAAATCAAAGAAAAAGAATAAAAAAACTTAAAAAGCCTCTGACTCAAGAGTATATACTGAGCTAGAAAAGAAGAAAGAAGAAACTGAAATATAAAAAAGATGTATTTCAAAGAAGACTAAGCATTAGAATTAATTATGGAGATCGAGAAGAAACAAGAAGCAGTAGACAAAAGCTTAGCTAGTCATCTTGAATGAAAGCTAAAGTAGATCCAACTGCAAATATATCTTTAAAATAAAACAATACTAACAAAACAGGTAATCACTGATTTGAGACCAAGGGGTTTAAATTCTTAGTGAGTTAAGGATCCTAAGGGAGATAAAAGACCACTTAAGCAGGTCACATCAGGGCTAATATAGTTAGGTGAGCCTTTTGTTGAATAAGACTAATATAGTTATAAAATAGTTTAAAATAGTTTAAGTTATAATATAGCTAAGTCATAATAAACAAAGGCAGATTGCTGAATTTTGAAAAAAAATTTTATATAACTTAATAAATTAGTTTCTATTATTTAACCAGATCAATTTCTGCAAAACTTTAAAAAAAAGATTATTTACTATCCAGTTTGTTTTTTTTATGCATCTACAAAAATTTTGTTTATTACTAAAAAAAATTATTTTTTGTAACTAAAATTAAAAGCTGGTGATTTTTTAAATTTATGTTATGAAACCAAAAAATTAATATTGTATAACTTATTAAAAATTAACTTTTTTTTCTAAACAACTCATCAAATAATTTGTCTGCTGCTACTTTACCATATTGTGTTAAATTAGTTGAACTATTTGAGGTTGTATTATTTAATTGATTCCGGGCAATACTTAGATCCTCTTTTGAAAAAGAAATTTCTTTCATATTTGCTGTTGCTAAACAAAGTTTTGATTTCTTTGTTTCTTCAGTCATATTTGGATGGCATTTGAGATCAAATTTATTAAAAAGTCCCTCAATTTGCTGCTGATGAACAATAATATAATATATGCGATGCTTTACAAATTCATATAGTAGTGGGTATTTATAAACAGGTTTTGTTTTTGAATTTGCAAATTCAATAAATTCATTTAATAATATTGGATCTTCTAAAGCTTCATGTAAACCAAAATCTTGAAATTCTGTTTTCAAATCAATCTCAGCTTCAAGTTCTTTAATATAAAGTTCTTCTTTTGCTGTAATATTATGATTCCATGTTATTTTTAAAATAACTTTAGCATAGGCTAAAGCAAACTCATGTCCATTATCTCCTCCTAATCGACATATATTTAAAGGTAATTGTAACCATATTTTAAGCCATTTTTCTAAAGACTCAAGTGCTGCTTCTACTCCTGAAGTTAATCCATCAACTAAAATTTGGAACTCTGTATTATTTAAACTATTCATTCCATTTAGAAGCTCATCTTCAAAAAATAAATAAATATTATTTATAATATTTTTTAAATCATCTATCCATTGAGTAACAGCATCTGGCATTTCATGAGCTCTTCTTCCTGGGGGAAGTGTAGTAGCTTCATTATTTTCTTTTAATATTCTAGGAGTTGAATCAAATCCTGCTAGAAAATTCATCATTGGTTCATATATTGTTTCTCCAAATTTTACTAAGCATTTTATTTGTATTTTAAGCAAAGGATCTTTAAGCCAACTATTTAATAATTCCCATTTTGAAATATATTGTTTTGGTGAATTATTAAAAGTTTTAAGTTTTTCTATAAACCATTTTGCAAATATTTCTATTGATTCATATCTTTCAATAAATTGTCTTGCTGCATGTAATTCATATAACCAACGCTGTCTAAGAGGTTTTTGAAATTTAGTATATTGAAATCCAAGAAGATTTTGATACATATTTGATATAAAAGAAGCTTTCATACTCATTGGATTTTCTTTTTTACTCTCATCATATCCATTATGAAGTTGCCAAATTAAATGAAGTAAATTAAATGGATGTTTTTGATTAGAATATCCAGTATTAACATCTAACTTACCAAATGCAGAATTTTCAAAATGAGTTATCATAATATGTGCTGAATGCATACCACATGATATTCTAAATGAATTTGATAATGTTTTATTATTAAATAATACAACAGCTCCACTTTTATAACCTGACATATATGCAGTATTATCAGTTACCCAAGTAAAGCATTTTTTAGAATCTATTTTATAAGTATTACAAGTTTCAGCAACTATATTAGCAATAGTAGATCCACTACAATTTGATAAATCTTTCATTTCTAACAAAGTTGCTTGTGGAATATTTGTATTTGAATTCCAATAAATAAAACATATTATAAAAATTTTACTATCACCTCTTTTAGATTCATCAGCCATTATTCCATAAACTGAAAATTTAGAATTTCCAATTATATTAGATTGTTGATTAGAATAAATTTTTGCAACATCTCTATGCCATCCAGTAAGAGTACTTACTGAAAACCATTTATCAGGCTCTTCATCAATAAGCCATTCAACTACTGCTTTAGTGCATTCTACAGCAGATCTATATGACATTTTACCAATTTGACAAACTTTTGTTGCCATTTGTATTGTTTTTGCTGTATATTGATATTTATTTTCCATTAATTGTTGTTTAATTGCAGTTTTTAATTCTTCTTTAGTATAACTTTTAGTTTTAGATATTTGCTGCTTTTGAATTTGTTTAAACTTACCAATTTTACCATTTAATGATTTATTTTCACTTTTAATTTTATCTAATTGCTGAGTTAAACTATTTATTTGATCTTCTAAAGATTTTATTGTAATACTACATTCATTAATATCATGTTCTGTTTGATAAAATGAATTTTCTACATGATTTGCTGCTTTTTGTTGTAAATATTTTGAAAAAATCTTACCAGTATTTTGACCTTTTTTATATCGCATAGTTTGTATTAAAGAAAAAGCTAATACTAATTCATTATAATCTGTTTGTATAATATAATTTAAAAATGTTTGCTGTATTTGTAGTAATTTTGAATTATATTTTTGATTATAAGTAAGTATTTGAGTAATTTGATTAAATAAATTAAGTAATTGGACTTTTGAATTTAGTTTATTTGTTTGATCAACTTGAATTTCATTAGATTGTATAGTAATAACTTCAGTTTGAGTAGCAACTGTATTAACAAAAAATTCAGTTTGTGTAGCAACTGTATTAACAATATTTTCAGTTTGGGTAGCAACAGTATTAATAGTAGATTCAGTTTGTGTGGCAATTGTATTAACAATATTTTCAGTTTGAGTAGCAATTGTTGTGTTAATAGTTGCAGAATCTATAGTATTTGTATCAATAATAGATAAAGAAGGTATATTAGAATCTTCATTGTTGAATTTTTTATTAGCACTACGGGCTTTTTTTAAATGCTTTCGCTGACTATAATGTTTAACTTGTTTAATTCTTTTTGGCATGTTTATTTTAAAAAGTATAACGATAAGAATAAAAAATCAAAATTATTTTAATTAATCTTAAAATTTTTATTGATTTAAATAATAATCGGTTTATCTCAGAATCCTGATACCGAAAATCCCAATGCTTAAAATCCCGAATGCAATTTTTAACACTATCGGGATTTTATTTTCTGGATTTTGAGCATCGGAATTTTAAGTATCAGATTCTGAGTCAGCCCCAAAAATTACCATTAGAAAATCCGCAATTAGTGATGATCATTAGTAACCCTAACTATATGATTTTAATAGGCCGTTGAACACCCTAGGGACACGTTTCCTAAAACACTACAACACTAAAACACTAAAACGCTAAACATTAAAACATTAAAACACAAACGATAACGCTAAAACAATTAGGATAGCTGCGCAGCGTGTGACGCGGCGCAGGACCAGTACGATCACGTACGCCGTTGTGAAAAGCTCAAGGAGATCAATTTACCTATTCTCTTTTTTTTGTGTTTTCTTCTATTATTAGTTTCTAGTTTTTTTTTTCTAAAAATGCTTTAGTAGAATTAG